TAAAGAGAAAGCTGATAATTTTTTCTATCAATCGCTTGCTTTCCAGTCCTTTAATCATTATTGCAGCTGTGGTGACTTCCAGGCTTTGGAGTTTCAGTAGGAAATGCTTTTTGTGACACCTTTGCTCCCACACACTCAGTTTGATTGCCACTGTAAAGATGGGGATATGTCTTAGCCCTCTAGAAGAAAATCAAGCAAGAGTGGGCAGGGAATAATTTTCCATGGAAGCTCTACAGTGAACTGGAGAGGGACACATAGAAAGCAGGGTTTTAAGGACAGCATTTCCCTTCTGTGTTCGATAGTTTCCTCTTCAAAATTATACAAAAGCAATTTAATCCTTTTTTACTGTTCCCCTGTGCAAATCACTCCCCAGATTCCTGATATATGTGTGTTTGTCAGCCTCACCAGCCAGCTTCCCCAAAAGTGGCAGGCAGGAAAAAGCCAAAGAGCAGACAATGAAAAATCTGAAGTGAAGTGAACTCGGACAATTTCCTGAATGCATCCATGAAGTAACAGTGAGAGCAGTCAGCAGCTGGACTGAGAATCATAAAAGCAAGTGGGAATCACTGACAACCAGTGCTTTCTGGAGACTTCCCTTGTGCTGGCTTGGTCACTTGATCTGAATTTGGAGCCTATACAGTATTTGGATTCAGGCCAAACCAAGTAGAAGGGTGAAAACACATCTGATCTGCCCCAAGACAGGACACCTTAAACCTGCTAAATCATCCCTCTGACTAAATGCATATTGTTGTAGGTTTATAGTACAAATGTGATGGGACAGGTGATACATATTATAAAATGATAGTGTATGTATGTTTTTACCGTATGTGTTGTCTGATGACTGGAAATGGAAGGCATTTGGTCTTGTTTCAATTGCTTTAGATGTGAAAAAGAGGCAAAGGCTGTGTGCCAAGCATCTTGAATGTTGGGTTTGACAAAGTTTTATTTAAGGAGCAAAAATCTGTTTTTCAAATGCCTATCAGGACAAGCTCTTAGGTGCATCTCTTGGCTTACCTGGATTGGAAAGTGTGTATAGTTAAGGCAAACTAGCTGAAGTCTTTTTCTGAAGACTGTATTTTGTTCATGTGCTTCTAAATATGATGTGTGAATGCTATAGTGTGAACCTAGGTTAAATTCTATGACAGAACCTCAATCAGTTACAAGAGGAACATTCTTGGCCTCTATTATTCAGTTGTATTTCGGTAACTCAAGGTAAATGGTACAGGAACATGTTAGAAACTGAGGTAGGAGTCCACCAGCAGTACCAGAAGCAGACAAAATGTTTATAAAAACAGATGGACTGCTGTGCAATTATTACTCTGAGACTTGTACGGTTTGTGACCTGAAATGGAGACATTATGTCATTGATGGAGAAGGTTTTGGCAAAACTCCTGGCATAACGCTTGACAGAAGTGAAAACAGGGTACCTTCATCACATAAATACATTCTCTGTATCTTTTGGATACAAGAACACACTTGTCTAGACATAAGGAAGACAATATCCTAGAATAAAACTAAACAGAATAAAAACAGATTACTGGTTTTCTTTACACTTTGTTTATATGAGAAACAGAAATGGAGAAGGAAGTACCAGGGCTGCTGGAGACTGTTCTTCCAGAGCCTTTGATAAGGTAACTGTTACCAGCGACTGTTGAACCAGAACTTTAATCCAGCAGCCCTCTCCTGAAGGGCAGTCCGGTGAAGGGCTGCTGTAGCACCCAGGGAAGGAGGTGTATGATGCAAATGTCTACTGAGGGGAAAATCCTAGTTCTTTAGGAGTCACTGATACAGCAGACTGCACATGGAATTCCTTAGGCTGCCTGGGTAATCTCAGAAACAACTAAATCTTGTTCATGCCTGTATTTTATTCCTGTTTATTCCAAGCAATTACACAGAATCACAGAACGTTAGGGACTGGAAGGGACCTCAAAAGCTCATCCAGTCCAATCCCCCTGCCGGAGCAGGAACACCCAGATGAGGTTACACAGGAAGGCGTCCAGGCGGGTTTTGAATGTCTCCAAAGAAGGAGACTCCACAACCTCTCTCAATCGCTGAATAGCACTCTGCTCACGTGGGACATAGTACTGTCATCAGAAAGGGAAAGAAAGGCAGAAGGAGAAAGACCCTTTGCCATTTGAGTACAGCAATGCCAGAATGTTCTAAGAGATCATGACCAGAGCAGTGCCCATGTTCCTTTTGGCAGTGGATTTCCCTAAAAAGGTTTGAAGCAATGACATTCTTGCACAGAAAGTCAGGACTATAAATGTGTCACCATAAAACCATTATACGTATAGGCAATATCAACTAAATATGAAAAAAAGATCAGGCCAGGAGAACCATTTGAAGTACGTGCATGACAAATGCTAACCACAGCATAATCACCACACCAGTATCAGTGGCAGGCGCTCATACATTGCACTGATCCCAGAGTTTAAGTCTCATTAGATGAGATCTTACAAAAAGCCTAGTTGCGAAGGAAATCTCAATTTTTCCAGGGCCAGGGTACCAATTTTTAGAAACAAATGGTTGCAAGAGGTTCCCTGTAGGTGTTGGGTTGTTGGTTTTTTTTGTCTGGAAGAGATTTTGCTGTTTCACAAATCAGGAAAGTATTTTTCATTCCAAACTTCATTAAATCGCTTTTCCTTGGAACAAGATAGCAAATACTTTCTGTGCCCATTTTCCTCTCATCTTATGGAGCTAGCCTCCTTAGCTAGAAGAATAATTTGGCAGAGAGAAGGAGGTATCAGAGAGTGGCATTCATTGCTTAAGAAGTCAGTGCAAAAACAGCCTGTGAAAGATTGACCGATTTCTTTTAAACACAAAAACTGAAATTGTGGCACCCGTTGTCTAATTGCTATTGGATGTGAAAACAGCAACTGGAGTAGCTGCATTTGACTGTAATCACATCCCAGTGGAAGAACAGAGGTACGGTAGGATCACTGGCTGATTCAAGCATATCCTAGCCGTATTTTTTCTCTGATTATTCCAGATTGTACTGCAGGTCTGGAGAAGTAACAGGATACCATTTCTTCTGCCTACCTATAGGTAACTGTTAAATGAGCACTCCTTATTCACTTCTGCCCTCGCTTGCTTTCTCCTCCCTCTTGTCCTTTTGAGCTATGGCCATGAGCAAAAGAATTAACAGGACTTCTACCACAGAACTTCACCCACATCTTAACCAGCAATGTTCTTGTTCAATAAACCTATTGTATTTCCCTTCCTTTTGACAACACCGACCAGCCTCCATGACTCCTCATCATCGTGTACCATTTTCTCCACTAGCATCTTGTTATTCTGATGTAACTACATTACTCTGGAGTCTGTGTTGAGTATATATCTCTGCTATATCTGCAGTAACTAGTAGCTCAGCAGTAGTTTGTGGAGTGCAATCTTATTTGATACTTTTTTTAATTCCTGCATATCATACAAACTAATTATTCTTTATACAAATACAGTTAATCAAATTTCTCCAGATACCTTATTTTTGCTACTTAAAGGTGTAACAATATAAGAACATCAGGATTTTTTTCCATTATATAGTAGTTGTCAGTAGCTATGTCATAGTATCAGCTGGGTTCCATGACAAAATCCTTCTTGTATCTCACTATGCACTTTGTGATGCCGTGTGTGCACCCTCTGCTACCTTATGCTGTAAGTTCTTTTATAAAAGGAGAACTTCAAAGCATTAGGAAAGGTCAACAGAAAATGTGAAGCAAACGTTCATAGCTTAAATCCATGAGAAACTTACGCTGTAGTTGGCTGGATCATACACAATCTAAACCACAGAAAAACTACATTCAATATCTTTCATGCCTTATAAGCAAAGGGGAGGGAAGAAAATATTAATTCATGTTCTGTGACTTAACACTTATTTAGCTGGTTTGTTTGCACTTTACTAAGAGTACTAAAAATAAACTGAAAACTTTGTGAACTACTCATGGCAAATAGAATGGCAGGAAAACTCTATTGTTTCCAAATCTGCTTTGAAACAAATGAGCGAACACGAGGCTCCTCTATAAGAGAAAGAATCTTAATGGAAGAATTTACTGAACTCTGGCTGAAGTCATATGAAAGTAACACAGTGAGTCTTGATAGCTTTAACAAGATTTTGTCTGTCACTACAAAGGTAGCACCTCTTGTTAACCTCAGGAGTTTGAGACTTCAACTAATACACTTGCAGCATGTCACTTATTTCAGGGAAAACACACTGAGAAGGCAATATAGATAGAGATTAATACAGGACTTTCTTCTTCTGTGCCATTTCTGCTTTGTATAATATGAAGACAAAGACAGAATGAATGTTTGAAAAGTTCACTGTCTGGCCCACTCCGAAATACCAGGCTGTTTCCAACTACAACCAGACCAAAATTCAGGTTAAAGATTTGAGAATGTATTTATCAAAAGAGAGAGGAAAACTTGGGACCTAGGTGTCAAAGGTAGACAGACATTGCGTATGTAAGCACTTTTAAATTTTAGTTAACTTAGGGCTCTTCCCTTGCTGGTGCAACACAAAAGTGCAAAAACTTAGTCTTCTCCTTCCTCTAAAACAGATAAATGTGCTGCTTTTGTGGACCGTTTTATTTGCACACTTTCAAAGTTAGTTCACTGTTTAATAAAAAGGAAAAAAAGTAATTCATGTACTACTTCAGTATCAGGAAATGGCCAGGGGATATTATCAGTAGATGTAAAATAGGAAAAAATACTAAGATATCTTTCCCCACTTTAAACATAAAAGTTACAAATTAATGTAATCAGTGCATGATTACAGACACATGTTGCATGGTTCCTTGAAAAACGTTATGGTCTTGTCAGGGTGCCTGTCTTTGAGTGAGTTCCTCGCAGGCTGTGTGTGATCCAAATGCACCACCTGAGGACAGGTAATACAGGTCTATCTCTGGAGGAGGTGCTTATTCAGGAAGAATGTGAACACTGGAGAAGTTTTTATGCCTTTCAGGTACAACTAAGACAATATGTCGCTGCCAACTCTTAGTGAATCTTACCTTGGCTAGCTGTGCTTGGAGTTTGTTCTTTGCATCAGCCACTTCAGCAATACGCTTGTTAAAGGGCTGGTTGGTGCTGATGGAATGGTTCCACATCTCCTCGGAGGTGCTCTCCAGTCCAGCCTCTGCATCCTCGCGGAGCTTGACAGAGTTGGCCCTTGCGTGTTGAGAGCGCCTGATATTGTCTTCACTGAATTTAGCCCATGTTGCAGGAACTGAAACACTGGTAAGGAATTTAAAATAAGACGTAAGCAAAATATAACAGCTTAGGTGAGCTTTTTTCAGTTCAGTTATAATTACATTCAGTTACACTGAGATTAAGTGTTCATCCATTGAGCTGTGCAATCACATACACCGGGTGATACTATTGATTTTATACTCACTTCCTTGTCTTTTTTTTCCTCTCTAGAAGCCAAAGGTTTGGCAACACCAAGTGAAGATTTTGGAGAGCTGTTGCTTCAACAGAATTTCTATGGTTTGCTTGGATATTGTAGCTGCTAACTAAAGGTTCTATGGCCCTGGCTTCAACTCCATAGTAAGTAGGTTTATGGGTTTTGATCTATAAAGAAAAAAGTCTTGCATACTTTTTATTTATTGATGCTTAAAAATAGTTTTTGAGGATCGAGTATGAATGCCAGCAACGCACATTCTTCTTGTCTTTAACAGATGAGGTGCTGGTCTGAGCTCATCTGCTGCTGTAGCTCAGCAGAAATGTTTCTTTGTGTTGATATTCAGAGTGCTTATGGCCTTCGTGGATTATTAGATTGTTTAACATGATCTCCTGTGCATTGCACACCATCAAATTAGATTCAAATACCATCTACTTTTGTGAACCCAAACCTTTATCCTGGGGAAATGGAGTCATGTGTCACCAACCACTGGAGAACATGAGATGGGAAAATAAGCAAGAAACCAAAGGAAAAGAGATTGTTACACAGCTCATCAAACAGCTCTGGTCTGCTAGCAAAGCAGCCCTACCTCATGAGCTATGTATAATATAAAGCATGTGGCTCTGGCATCCTAGGAGCCTTCATCATCAGAAGGAATGATAGCAGGAAAATAGGTAAGGCACTAACCTAGGCATAAGGAGAACTGAAAGTTTTCTCCCAGCCCTAACCCTGTCCTTCTGTGCCATTTGGGTAAGCATCTCCACTCTCTTACTTCTCTGTGTATTGAAACAAACACCTCTGCTTTGCCTTACGAGGTCATTGCAGTTAAATTTAGTAATATCTGTGAGACAAGCAGGAATGGCTCTGCTATGGAAAAGCCTATGAATATATAAAGTCTGAATATAGGGCTCCTGCACTGAAAAATGCCACCCATGAATGTTCCTCCTGCAGTGTCCTCTATGTAAACAAACTTTGGGATGCTTGGATGGCCTTAATTATCATAGTTAACATAATGATGACCATAAATCCCAGAGTCAAGGCTTTCCAAACCAAGAATCTGCGGGATTCTCAACTTGCAGCCTGAGCCCCCAGCTTGAGAACTGGTGCAGCATAAGCTGCTCTCTTTGGGGTTAAACGCACCACCTTCTTTAATGCATTGCTTAGCATGCTAGGTCACGTCTCCCTTCACCCAGAAATATTTAGTGTATTTTATGAAAAGGTGCAGATACTTTATGTTCCAAACTGAAACACAGAGATAAACTTCTGCCTGCATATAAACTCCACACAAAACTTCCTTCCAAGATTTATGCCTGTGTTAAGCTCTGCATGGACAGGTCACTATTTATCGAGTTTCACATTTACTTTAGATTTTAATGGAACATTGAGAATAAATTTTAAGGGATGCAAAAATAAGAAGTTAATTGTGTCAGTGCTTGTTTTCTTAGGGGCCCTTTTTCAGTTTTTTTATAGGCTATTCTCCTCTCTCCAGACTGAAGTACTAAGTTCCCTACAGGATTTGGAATTTATTTAGGCAGTTGGAGGTAACCAACATGATACCATAATAAAGTGCATAAATCAGTGAGCTGTCATTACTTAGAGCTACTGATTCAGACAATCTCAGTGTACTTTCTGGGTTAGGTTGGGTTTTTTTCCCTCTATGGTCTGATGTCTATATTCATACTCTCATCAGAAAATTAACTTTCCAAGCAGGTTTCCATCTTGACTATCTAAAATACTTAGTTCCTTAATGTTGTTTTTTCAGACTGTAATTTATCCAGCTGTCTCTGTTGCAGCAGAAAGCATCTGCTCTGCTGCTGAGTGCTGCAGGTTTGTCTCAGTCTGCTGGAAAATGTTAATGAAAAATGACATTTCTTTGGATAATGGTTGGTGAGAAAGGAAAAGGGCTGTAAAACTTAGCCACATGAATCTGCTTTTTACCAGAGCTGACAAGAATAATTTTATTTATTGCTAATCCTAAAAGCAGGTAGTGGTACTAGAGTCAGCAGAACACCTGCCAAATTTCCTTCAGATATGCCCTCATTTCAGTAGTGAATGCAGTGATCTTTTAATGAAAAGCAGAGCATAAGTAAACAAGTAATCCTGATTCTTTTCCCCCTTCAAACAAGATAGAGTCATTATCATTTACCATTCAAATATTGCTATGCTAGAGAGATAAGGGAACCAACGAGTCATTAGCACAAAAACACTGCCCTCTATTGCAAGCTGCTTTGCTTCTGCTATTGCTTTTGAATTGGATGCAGGTTTTGATGAGGCCACTGCTAATAAACTGTTTTAAAACTGTATACAATTGAGACATTTTAGTTCAGTAATTTTAGCCCAATCTGTAATGCTAAAGCTGTGCCAAATCTTTTTTCTCATCCTGTTTAATACCTTCCTCTGTATAGCTTGATGACCTGATTTCCAAATAACCCAAGCTATTTTGACAGAAAATGTAGTCCTTGATGTATGCTTGCCTGCTGCTTACCACATTGCACTTTAACTGCACATCTTAGCTGAACTTTTATTTGATTGGATGTGGTTTTGAAACCTGAAGGCTACAGATAGTATAAATCAAAACCACGGAGAGACATCTGCACAGGGTCTGAGTGCCAGGAGTCAGCTGCAATGCTGTTGTAAAGCATCATCCTCACAGAAAAACACAGCTCGCTGCACAGCAGTGCTGTGGGTGCTGCAGGCTGCCAGCTTCTGCCTGGCCTCCAGCAGCTGGTAGGAGGCTGGGAGTAATTGAGGCTGATGGAGGGTTTCACACCAAGGAAGAACAGGGCTGTAGGGGAAGAGAAGCCACCTCTTTCTATATCACTTCTGAAAGATAAGGCTAGGACTTGTGCTGTCATCAGGCTCCTACTTCAACAGGGAGCACGGAACAAGAAGACGACAACAGCCACTCATACTCACCTCCCATCTGCTTTTTCCACTCTCTGGTAAAAGCTGATGCTGTCTGATGTGTTGCTCATGTTATAGCACTTCTCGTCAATTAAATGGGCTGAGTTTTTGTCAGAAAGATCCTGCTCCAGGGCATGCTGTGCATCTCTGTTGATGCTGTGAAGGGGAAATACTTGCATTAATCTGAAGCAGCTTTAACGCTGTTATACTAAATAGTTAATTTATTTTGTTAGCTTCCTACAATCCTTCATTTTATAGCTTGTTGGCATTTACAGTGGCTTGAAAACGCTTGGTGCTGTAACTTAGCTAGAGGGAGCTGCTGTACCATCCATTCCTTCCAGCCTCTAGTGAATATCCCCCAAAGAACAGTGCTTAACTCACTGCATTTAATGATGTTTGTCATTTTGATGGCAGACAACCGCGAGGGTGAGAACCAACAGGTAGTTGTTGTGTGGCATGAAGGAAAGCCTCAGAATAACGGGGAGGAGGAGCTCAGTGACAACCTTCATGCCAGCAAAGCTGCAAGTGGGAAAGAAAAGGGCAGCCCAGAGTTGTGGTTTCCCATCTCTCCTGATTTTGGGGACAAATTCACTGAGCATAATTCGAATTGGACATCACTGGAAATTCCGTTTAAATAGTTCTGCTCATCTTGATCGCGAGGAGGGAAATAGTCTGCTCATCTCTGCTTTCTTACCCACAAAGAATTTTTGGAGTATCTTAATCTGCTTTGGCTCTTTCAAACTGGGGGAAAGCCTGGCAGATCTTGGGCTGGACCAGAAAAGGAGTAATAGAGATGAAGAAAGAATCAAAGTCTTGCTTCCCAGTGCATCAGGGAGACAGCAGACACATTGACATTTTTTGCAAATATTGCTGTGAGTCAGCATTACTATTGCTCTGCCTGATGTGGTGACAGAACTGAATCAAAGATAACCAGAAATGCCAGCCCAAAGAGCGAGACAGAGTCCATGCCCCCAAATATGAACGTAGCTTTTATCTGAGCATATACCCAATGTATTACAGCAGTGGAATGGACTGCAGAACTGCATCTGACCTGACTCTGAGTCAGACGAGTTCTGAGTGCCATTAATAAAAGCTATCATTTATAAAATCTCCTTATGTCTTTTTCTTCTGCGATGTCACAATGAAGAACGGTACAATTCTGTCTTCCTTGTGTGTGAGTGCTCGAACTGCTTCTTTTGAGAATCATGTCATGTCATATAAACATGGCTTTTAAAATTTGTGTCAGTTCTGTGTAGTTAACACTGCATTCAGTATAGTTTTACCCAATTAAATGACATAACTTAAACATAACTTGTATTTGCTAGGATATTTGTATATTCTCAAAGAAATAAAATGCCCCCCACAACAAAAACCATATAGAAATATAAATTTAAAAAATGTAAGTCCATTCCATAACTCATCTCATACCTTATGCTGTGCTTAGATTCCTGTTTCACCACTAATAAATTTCCTTTGAATTTAGTTTTGTAAGGAAAAAAAAAAAGAACCCTTTAACCTTACTCCAGAGTGCCCCAGAGCAACACTGGCACAGCTGAGCTATAATCTTGGTGCCCCTGATTTTACTGAAGGATTTCAGATTAAACATGACTTTAAAAATTGAGTCAGAGTCATCTTTAAATACTAAGTGCTGCTTTTCTGCAGTTTAACATGCAAATTCCATTACTGGTAAGAATTAGAAGTGGAGGGCAATGAGCACCTAACAGGCTCAGTTTCTGCTTTTGCCTTTGCTGCTTTCACTCGGGCATTAGATCCTACCTGACACTGAATTCAGCTTTCCTATCCTTAAAACAGGAATTAAATGTAAAGTCTTACCCCAACTATTGACTGATTTTCTGTGCCAGTTTTGTCAATACGTCTTGACAGTCCTTGAATACATCAGCCTCCTACAGTGGAAAATACACGGTGTCAGTGCGTCCATCAAGCTTCATTTGTTTTAGTGAATTTACCATTTTTATTCTGCACTCTAGGTGTTGCAGCCATCTCACATATCCCAAAGGTAATGTAGGTCAAGGAAGGATGTGTTTTGGTCCATCTGTTGCTCGGTCCTACGAAATTGTGCCTTTTGACTTGGTTTTGTATGGCTAATTATATATTACATTACATTACATTACATTACATTATATTATACCGACCGTATTAGTAAATTTTATTGGATGGAGTAATTCTAATAAACATAAAGTCAAATTTTGCTTGGCTTAAGTATAATGAAACATACTTGAAACATGAACCTTAATCTGTTAAACTATCCTCTCTAACTACTTCTACATTTTCTAGAACAATACAAATATTTCGCTAATGGTGGAGCAGGTTGAAAATACATCTGGCTCCCTAAGGAGGTGTATTGTAATATTCTTCAAAACTATAAATATTAGTCAAAGAGATTCAAAGCCAGATTCCACTCAGATTAAAATAAAAATGACTCAGACCAACCACATTGAAAACTATGCAAACACGATAATTATGGTCCCTCGAATAATGTTATAGTCCTCTTTCCTTTTTAAAAACTGTCTTAGCCAACAGTTCAGGCTGTGCCCTAAGTGTGCACAGCTTTGTGAGTTTTGAAACAGGAAATGAATTGTTTTAAATTATTTGGAAGAAGTAAGACACTCCAAATTTAAAAATACAGGCTCTGTCTCTGTACTTGTATAGTAAGCATAGGAGTGACAGCAGCTTTCAAACTGGCTTTCCTGTTATTATTAAATGAGCCTTTCTTGTCCTTTATTGTCACTGTCTAACTTGCTCCTTAGAGCAGTGCTTGGGGAGATCAGACAAATTGCTTTTATTCTTAATTTTGAAAAACTAAGGGTTTTCATCTGTTCATGTGGAACATTTAGCAGCATTTCATCCTACCCTGAACTGTCATGCTGGAATACTTAAGCTAATATGTGCCAGCTTCTTGATTCTTCATTAAAACTCTCAAACTCCAAGTTGCAGGTTGTAGGCTTAGGCTCTGAACAAGCATCTTGGTTATCCAAGCGGTCTGCATAGCCCTCTGCAATCTGTTAATCCAAAGAAGTGCATGAAGCAACACCATTGTCCATAACGTTCTTTCCTGATACTTTTGTTCTCACATACATCCAATAAAACTTTTAAAATACATAAGCAAAGTGTTACTTTATTATTGTTTTTATCTAAAAGATTTAGCAGTCACTACTATCCATCTTGTTTTCTTTGTTCAGTAATGCTATATATATACATATGTAGAGAGAGAGTGTGTGTAAGGCAGTAAACCAGCATTTTGTATTGTAAGCCCTAAGAACTTCTGAGATTTTATAGACCACGGCCCAGAAAAAAATCTTGAGAAATGTTTCTACCTTGTTTTATAGGATCAGGGAAGACAGAATTGTACAAGACCTCACAATGACGCTAGGTCTTTCCTTGTGCTCCAGGAGGGATTAATAGAACACAAACCATCCCCGCTCTATGGAGTTTTACCAAACGTTTCCCACTTCTCCCCCACTCTCAGTCTTTCAAATGAATCAAAGGAAGAAATTACTGCAATGTTTTTACCCTGATATTTAGTTATATTTTAGTTATTTCCACAGTTTGAAAAATAAACTAGCAAGTCTGGTCTTACCTTTATGAGGTTCTTTTCCACACCGTCGTGAACTAAGTCTATATCCTTCTGCTTCTCACGGAGGTACAAGCATTCTAGGGCTGTCTGCAAGCAAACCAAGGAACATTTGCAATAGGTTCAGTACTGCATTGTGGAGCGGATTACAGAATCATTAAGGTTGGAAAAGACTTCTAAGATCATCAAGTCCAACCATCAACAAACCACCACCATGCCCACTAAAACATGTCCCAAAGTCCACATCTACCTGTTTTTTGAACCCCTCCAGGGAGGTGAAACCCCTTGCTGAAGGAGCCGCTGAGCTGACAGGTCAAGTAATGACCATCTGTTGAGGGTAGAACAGAACAGGAGGTGCCTTCATTGCGCTCAACTGATCCATCTTAGTGGCTCATTCCTACTTAGCTGTTAATACATATTTGTAAAGATTAGCTGCCATTTCATTAGGTGGTTACTAATGTGCAGCAATGCCTACCTGCATGCCCAAGCTTTGTTAGAAATCGTGTGGATTAAAACACCTGCATTGTTCTACACTCATCCATAGCGAAAGCCTTTAATCTCATCTCCCCTCATCCTCCCTTACCCAGTGCCAAAGTTTGGAAGTTTCATACCTATACAAGAGAATGACTGCATAACTATGAGCAGTGAACAGGGAATTTGGTTAACTTGCCCCAGCATGTTAACTTGACTCCTAATGTCTCATGCACTTATTTAGAACCATACTAATAAATGAAATGGTGTTAGCTGGCACAGAGCTGTTCTGCAGGAAGCATTCCCTGAATAGGAGGCATCCTCAGCCGGCCTCTCTGAATTAGTACAGATACAGACAACTAAAAAAAGTCATTCTTGAATACGGAGTTTTGGGTTTATATTTGTACTTGCCTAGAAACATGCTAGACATAGCTTCCATCAGCAGTATTCCAGATTTTTATGAGAGAGCCTGGACTCTGGTTTTCGCATGTTTGGAGTTTTTGCTAGCATCATTCAATTGACTCTTGAATTACTGTGGCTTTTTCTGGTGCAATTAATTTGCCTTTGAGATGCTGGAGAGCTTCAAAATGTAATGCAAATTATATGCTAACCTAAATGAAAATATTATTTTCACCAAGCAATGGCAGAAAATTCAGAGCTGGATAAGAATATCAGGATATTGCAGCTTAGAGGGCTGTCTTCCTCTCCCCTGTAAGGTACAGAGCTGACCGGCCAGTGCGTGAGGGAAACGTGGGCTCCTGGAGTCTCAAGCAGAAAGGAAGGAAAAGAGGGCATAGAAATATCTTTATAGATTCCTTTGTCGACTTTATATATAAAGCCTATGGTGGCAAGGTTCCTTCGTACTGAGGGTAATGTTTCACCAAGGTCAGTCTCAATAACAGCAAAAGCCGCACTACTATTCCACAGAGATAAAGCCATTTTCTTTACCTGTTCTGCAGTACAGTCATTAATTAACTACCTATGTCAAACCTACCTTCAGGGCTTCTTGCATTTCATCTACAGCACATTCAAGCTGCTTCTTTACTGTTTCCAAGGCTTTGGTCTCATTCAGCAGAGACTCTAGCTCATAGGTGAGCTCGGATCTCCAGAAATTAATGTTGGAGAGCCTCTCTGCCAGGTTTCTTCTACTGTCTTCTTGCATCTGGAAAGTCAGTTGATCCTTATCTTGCATCATTCTCATTGAATCGTCGTTCAGCCTACCGGCACAGTTCTTGGAGGCTTCAGAGCCTTTTAATTGAACCATGTTTGCATGGTGCCAGTCACGAGTGCTGTAACGGGCATGCAGGGATGAGCATAACGCGGGCAGAACAGTGGGTGGCTGCCCAGTGGGATTATTTGGTTTTTCAGAGGTAGGAGGGACCGCAACCACTTTGCGAAAAAGGCTGGGCCTCCAGGAGCTGAGGGGGGCGGTAGCCGGGTAGGTAGGACTGGTAGGTGTCCTTGGTGGTGCTGGTAGGAGCTAGGTCTGGGAACAGGCAGCTCTTCCTTGTGCCACAGTAGCTGGCCAGCTGCGTGGTCCCCAGAAACTCCATCCTGCACCAGTCTCAAGCAGCCACCCCAGGGATCTGAGCAGCTCCAGGGCCATCTCATCTCAGGGCCATCTCAGCGTTCCAGCTGTGTCACAGAATTCTCGGGCTGTGCCACCATCCCAGCACCCCAAGGGGCCTCCATTCCCACTCCTGGTCCTAGGACACATTGGTTTCCCTGCAGAGAAGCAGTGCTTTCCCCCATACAGCAGTGCTGTGCTGCTCTAGACACCATGTGAAGCTGTTTGGTTCGAGTGCTGAGCCAAAGGCTGCTTCTGAGTGGGGCTGTGTGTTTGCCGTCACTGAGCTTACCTTGAGCAAAAGAAAATAAAAGGTTTACTTCAGAATGGTTCATGTCCATCAGTTGGTGGCTGCAGGGTAATGCAGCAAGTGGGGACAAGCTGGACTGCCCCTCTGAACCGAAACACAGGCTCAGGGAGTCATCTTGTACGATTGTCTGGTGATCTCTGCAGATGGTCTGGTCCAAATGGACAAAAAAAAGGTTTAACTGTTCTGGGCTTTGCTTTTCCTATCAAATGTGGTCATCTTCCATAAAATGTATAAGAGATGGGAGAGACCTTCTCCTGATGATTTTTCTCCAGTTTAAAATGGTGAGTAACTTCTCAGATAACTTATCTAATTTTTCCTTTCTGAGCCTTCTGGCCTCTCTGGCAAAAGAACTGTTTCTGAAATCCAGTGCTCTAAAATTGCATTGTGACCCATCTCCTGTGCCAAGAATATTGAACATAAATAAGTATTTGTAATTACCCACTGTATTTCACTATCCTAAGAGTCTTTAAGTCAGTACAGATTTCTTCTAGGTTGAATGCAAGACAGTTGCAGTCATTTCTCCTTCTCCAGATAAATAACTATGCAACAGCTCATTCACCTTTTTTCACTCTGGGGAAATAAAATATATATGTGTGTATATATATGCAACACATTACAGCCTATCTTGTTGTGGAAAGCTTGCACAACATTACACCCCAGCTAAAAAAAGTAGAGGTGATTTTAAATAAATGGTCATTCTAAGTTAGATGTATCTCCTCGTGATGTTTAAAGTATATACAGACGTATATATTTCTTTCTGTCTTTTTCTTTCTGTGTGTCTTTCCTGCAGGGAGCCGAGGTGTGGGCAGTGGAGCCACATGCAGAGGACAGGCACCAGGCTGGTGTGTAGCAGCAGAATAACATTGATAGCGCAAATGCTCTCGCACACAGAAAACCTTCCTTCTGCAATAGCTGATAAAAGTCATTTTCAGCAGCTGCCCAGGAGGGTAAAGTTATTCCTAAGCATGAGAGTTGGCGAGAGTGCTGGCAGAGGTCACCATGGAGCTCAGCCTGACTCACACACTACTTTTTTGCCTATTTTTTGCCCAGAGAGCCCAGCACGCAGAGCCCTCACTGGCTCAGAGGGAGGGGGAAGTGCTGAGGAACAGGTTTCCTTTTTCTTTTTGATGCTTTTTACAGGGAATGTTCTATATAACCTCAGCAACAGGAAATGAACTGTTGCCCCCAAAAGAAAAATATTGGAACTCATACCAGTTTAAAATGTGGAAAGTCCTGCTGACATCAGTGAATCTAATCCATGTGTCTGAAAGGAAGCACAGACCTAAAGTGCTGTACTGAGCTGTGGTCTACAACAGAGCCAGACTTTTCATAGGGAAGGTACAGTATCAGTTCTTCAGATACATCTTACTGGCCAGTTCCTCCCAGCCCAGACATCTGAATTTGCTTAAAAATTTGGATCAACTGCCACATAATATTTTCCCATTAGTTTCCCACAGGAGATAATTACAGAGCAGCAAGTACAGAAGCTGTACCAGTATCAAGTGGTGATGGGCATTTACCTGAGGTAAATATACTTGAAATGGAAAATGGACAATAGCCTATTTATTAATGACTGAAAAACAGAGGTTGAACTCCTCAAATACCTTCATAACTGTATTCTAAGATTTTTTTCCCTAGGTTTTTTGTTGGTAGACACTTATTCAGAAGTTTTTGTGGGTTTTGGTTTTTTCCCTCCCTTCAGAGTGTTCTTTCTAAAAAGCTTGTGGTTGTTGAAGTGGAGAGTGTTCATAAAAAGATAATTTTGCAGTATTTTTCTCTCAAAAATACAGATTTAACACCAGGATGTGCTGGTACCTTTCCAGATATCAGTGATACTCTTCTATATATTGTTTCCCAGGTGAGGCTGCCTTACATAGTAACTTAAACACTTGTATGTTAAAACAGTCAAGTTTTGAGACTGATCAGTTAGAAATGGGAATACTTGAGACTCCTGACTGTGCTTAAGTCAGAAAAACACCCTTTTTACGGCACCCTGAACCAAAGCAAGAGAAGGTGGCTTTGTCAGCAGGAGATGTGCTGGTTCCCTCACAGTTTGCCCAAAACCACCTTGCCAACCTGCTTTTTTTTCAAGCTTGAGTTACTCTCAGTGGTTTTTCACAGAATCGCAGAATGTCAGGAGTTGGA